TTAACATGGACAATCTCAAAGGAAGTGACCTTTGGTTATTCCAAATTTAACCTTTTTTATGTACCTAACAGTAGCAAAGTGGTGATGGAAAGTAGAACACTGGTGATCCTGCTTCTATTCTGCATCATAAAGGAAACAGTTTTGTGGATAGGGATGATGTATCCAACACAATTGATGGTACAATATATGCTGCTTAGTTTGTTATTTATGAAAGAGAATAGTTTAATTCAGTAGATATTTCTCTCCATTTCCAGTTTTCTTTTCTTATGGGTTGTAATAAAAAATGGTTTTGGAGACATGAAGCTTGTTTACTTCGTAATTAAAAGAAACAGGACCTCTATTGATTAGGAAATGGATGGAATGCATAAAGAGTTTACAAAATTGAATGTATCCTTTAGAGATTTAACTAATTGCTTTTTCTTTTCGTCAGATGCATCAGCTATAATTTGACCTTGAATAAATGTTTTGGTGGTGTTTCATACTAAGGAGAATGTTGCCACTGAGTCTCTCTTAGCATGGAAAAAACTCTTCTCTTCTCTTCTATTAACCATCTGGTTAATAAAATATTTATTTTTCAGGAAAGATACCTTCAAAGTCCACTTAAAGAGTTTGAGAAATGAGATTAAAAAGTTCACCAAAGCTTGAATCTGAAATTGTAATAGCATCTACGTCACAAGTCTAATTTGCAATCAAGAAATTTATTTATTTATTTAGCATGTGGCGATGGTACATTAGCCAGGAGACTACAATGCTAATGCTATTTGGCAGCCCTGTTTGGTTCATGCTTGCACATTTCCCAAGGCGTGCCACAGGAGGGCGAGCTAACTCCACATCAGAAAGAAAGATAAGTAGTGTTTTTGCAGCATGGTCCGAGGCCCTCTCCCTCCATCAAAGCTACCTCACAATGTGCACTAACCAGAAAGGTTCGGCACTGGCAGGATTCTAACTGTCCACATGAAGCACTGGTTTGTTTTCCCACTGAAGTCATGCTCATTTATTTACTTGCATGTAACATGCTTTCAAACTGCTAGGTAACTAGAAGCTGAGGCAAATGGCAGGAGCTCACCCTGCCATGCAATATTAAGAGTCAAACTGCTGGAGCATAGACCATCTCCAGGGTCATTAAGTCACTGAACCACCTTTAATCTTTAATCAAGAAATGAGATATCAAGACCTAATCTAGATGGAAACAATTTCTATCTATAGAAAAAAGGAAGTATAATGATGTTGGGAAGGAGTAATGGAATACCATATTTTTATTTATTTATTTATTTGAATTCTACTTTTATTATTTTTACAAATAACTCAAGGCCATAACATATCCATCAAACCTTCCTCCTATTTTACCCACAACAACAACCTTGTGAGGTGAGGTGGGCTGAGAGAGAGTGACTGGCTCAAAATCACCCAACTGGTTTTTATGGCTAGGGGCAGGACTAGAATTCATTGTCTCCTGGTTTCTAGCCTGGGGCCTTAACCGCAAAGCCAAACTGACTCTCATTTGTCCATTAAATTCAACGTAACGTTGAAAGTCTACTCTACATCCAAGAATCTACTTTGTGTGATAAGTTCTGAAAAGACAGCCAAAGTTTGGTTCAAAATGAGTCCAACTATTATGTGATTTACTGACAGATATTTAAAACAATTATTCATTTGGTTTGGACAATCTTTAGCTGAGTTATATACATCTGAGAGTTGATATTCATCCAATGTTAAGTATTAAAAAGTGGTCTTTTAATATTTCTTCAGTAGTCAGCTGAGGAAATCTAATAATCAAAATTACAACATCTCATACGTTTAGAATTAAACTGGCATTTCTCAACAAAATATATTTATCTTTTGGAGTGCAAAATGTGAAAAAGCACTTAAGAAATCTCTATAACATTCTACATTACAAAGTAAAGTGCCATTAGCTACAATATTTATTAAAGACAGTGAGCAAGAAAAAATGTGCACGCCATACTGTATCCTAGCTGAATACATACTGTACAAGTGGCTACATTGCAAGTATAATTCTGCTCCACAAAAGTGAGAAAAATATATACAATTTTTAAAAAGGGAGAATTAAATCTGTATTCTGAAAATGGCAGAGTTGAATATTGTGCAAAGATCCCTGCTTTCCTTCACACATATTGACTAGGATATTTTATATACCTTTTCTGCCAGCTAGTGCGTATCCAGATTTTTGCAGTTGATATTTGGTACCCTTAGATCAGTGTTTCTCAATCTTGAGAATTTTAAACTGTATGAACTTCAACTCCCAGAAATCCCCAGCCAGCATGTTGAGAGGGGAATTCTGGGACTTGAAGTTCACACAGTTTAAAGTCCGCAAGGTTGAGAAATACTGTCCTAACTGAAAAAAAAATTGTGAATATTCCTGATATTCAATTCCCCACTGTCTTTACTTCAGTGATAATAACCATGACAGTGCTGAATATTATTTGCACATTTATAGGAAAATACACTTTTAAGTTGTAATATTCTAAATTACCTAGCTTATTCTTCTCCCTAAAGTTTTGTAGAGTTTCTAAAAGTATGGTAGCTTATCAATAGCAATCTAGAAATATTATCCCCTGTGTTTTAAGTTTTAGCCTAGTAAATGTCTGGAGCTTTCTTAAGTCAGGAGCAAGCACCACTTCAGTAATAAACTGCATGAGGACCTATTTTTGTAATTCTCACAGCCCCCACTTCAGCTTTACTCCCCATAATCACACCGGGGCAATAAGGCAGCAAAATGGTCATGCATTGTTTTGTTTTACTAAATGGGCAACAAGATAGGCTAAACTGATCTAGACACACAGCTAGAAGGCAAATACAGGTAGAGCCTAGCCTTCAGCCTCTCATTTCCTTTTGGACTGTTCGAAGTCCTGCTGCATTGAAAGTTTCCGACTTTTATAACCATGCTAGAGAGTGATACTTAGTCATCTTGCAAGAAGCAAATTGGTTATCAACATCTGTATGTTAATTAATCTAACAGTCAAATTTCGACTGATTATTTGGCACGGACAGTCTTTATTTTTTAAAGACTTTTTTTTATCATGCCTTTATTACTGTATCCCAAGGTAGTAGACATATCTAATACTCCTTCCTCCCCTATTTTCTCCACAACAACAACCTTATGAGGTGACTTGGGCTGAGAGAGAGTGATTGGCCCAAAGTCACTCAACTGGCTGTCATGCCTAAAATGGCACTAGAATTCACCGTCTCCTAGTTTCTAGGCCAGCATCATAACCAATAAGAGAGCAGAGGGCGGGTAAAGCATTTTGACATGCTATTATTATCCATTCCTGAAAAAGGTTATACTTTTTGCATGTGATAAGGAAGAAGCAAGAACACAACAACAACTTGTAAACTGTAGTGGAAAATGACTTAAATTAATTGGAAATAAGACAAAGATTGATAAAGCTTTGATGTCCTTCACATGAATTGAATTCATGGAGGGAAAGGAGAACAGTTAATTACACTGTTAAAAAAATGAGTCAAGCATTCTTTGAAGTTTAAAATACCTGGCATTTTATGGTTAGGTAGCAATAATTAAAAATGTGCATTTTGATTCAATGGCTATATTTGGTCACTTTCTTCTATTAAGATAGTCTTTTTTTTCCTCCCAAAGTATATAACTCTAAGTGTATACATATCATGACATTTAATTAAGTGGAATTGCTGATACTCTTGACAGAATCTTTGTTCCTTGCTTAAACTAAATGTCCATCAAAGGGACATTGCCACCATGTGGGGCAAAGAATGCTGGTCTCAGTTTTCAGGAGAAAGAATCAACAAACATAAATTCAACTTTCAGGGAGCGATTTTTATGTTTAAGTATCACAAGTTTAAGTATGCCTGTAACTCTTGGAAGTGCAGTCATAAAACATAAAGGTGATAAAAATTTACCAAGAGCAGAATTCCATTGATGAAAAAGTCTTTCTGACTGTGATTTTCTGCTAGTTTCTCTTTCTTAGAACCAGAACAGAAATCTCATCAGGGAAATTGTCTTTATTAAAATTGCTAGGATCAGATAAATCCCATGTTAGGATATGGAAGGAACTGGATAACGATTTGACTAATCCTGCTAGTTTTGTGAGGTAGACAGATCAGGAAACCAATTCCACAGGAAGAGTAGAACTAGGCATTCTAGTTGGCTGGCTCAGGAATTCTGAGAGCGAAGTCCACAAGTCATAAAGAGGCCATAGTTCCCCAACTCTGGTTTAAGTGGTCCCTTCCCACAGTAGGGTTCTTTGATTATATAACACATTCATCTAGAGCAGGGGTGTCCAACTCACAACATCACGTGATGTGTCATGACATATCGCAACTTTTTCTCCATTGCTAGCAATGGGGTGGACACGGTTTTGGCATGACACATCCAGCCCACAGGCCGGCAGTTTGACACCCCTGATCTAGAGAGTTACGTCAGGATGGAGAATGAGGGACAGAGGCTAAACTGATGATATCTATTCAACCTCATCATTCTGTCCAATTGTAAGTTTCTCTTAAGTCATCCTCAACCCCCAATGACTGCCCGATCAAATGCATACCATTTTCTTAAGGGAAAATAGAAGAGATTTGTCATTGTCTTCTTTGTGGATTTTTTCTTCTTCACAATCGAGTCTCTTTCACAATATTCTCTTTCATGGTGGTTTTCCATACAAACATTAGGTGCTACCATTCATAGGCCACACATCTTCCCTTTTGAATTCCAGTTTTTCTATTACACAGAAATGTTTTCAGGGTCTGTGTTAGAAAGTTTAAAGGATCAATACGTTAATTACCACATTATCTAACTGTAGACAAATCTGGTCATTACTTTTGTTCTGACATTAAAATCCTGATAGAAAATCTAAAACATTGCATTTAATTTATTTGTGTGTTATTTGTTTGTTATTGAAAATATATACATCATTCCATCTGAATGACACTTTCATGATAGCAGAGTAAAAGTGATTCTGGAAAGGTGCAAAAAATGATCTTGTGAATAATACTATATATTTTGTCCTCAACAGAAAGCCAAAGTTAAAACTTCTAAGAAGCTGGCAGATCAGGCTTGGGGAAACTAACAACAACAGCAGCAGCAACAACAATAACAACAACAACAATAATAAAGTTGGAAGGGACCTTGGAGGTCATCTAGTCCAGCCCCTTGCTGGAGCATTCACAGCTTCTGGAGGCTTGCTTACTTTGTTGGGACTACTATCTGGGGGAAAACTCCTGTACTTGGAAAGTTGACATTTTGGCTTCTTTCATATCAGGTTGAATCATGTTTATTATTTTATTCTTTCAACAGCTTGCTAAAATACTTCCCAATTTTCTAGCTTTCATTTTTTTTAACATGTCCTAGGCAAGTTATTAGTAACAAGTGAGAGATTTCCTAAACAGGTATGTTAATTGGACTCATACATTGAATGCCATTTCCACCATATCTGAATTTTTAGCTTGGTACCACAATGTTATTGCACACATTATTTACATTAAATCTTGGCATTCAGGTGGCTTGTGTATCAGTCCACAGAAGAGATGCTGTCATAATAATTTGCCCCACAGATGATCTTTCTTTTCTCTGTCTGCCTGTCTGTCTCTCTTCTCTCTATCAAAGGAATATGAATTATCAACCAATTGTCCATCCTGGTGATCTGAAACAAATGGATATTTTTGTTAACAAGCAAGATGAGTTTCGGGAAATTTCTAGGGTGATGTTAGATTTATTAGATTTAGGTTTCCATAATTCCAGCCAGCATCCAGGCTATGAATTATAAGAGTTGAAGTTCAACACCCCTGCAAGAAACTGTGCTGATAAAAACCTCTCCTGAATAGATGGCAGCCTTAATATTTTGGGGAAAATAATGCAAATGAAAGAAGCAAAATTTTGCTATAATGTCAGTGTAGATAAGTAACTGCATCAACTCTGTTACTTCATTTGAATGCAATATATGATCCAAAACTCAAAGATTTAGGATTGATATCACTCCCCAAATTGCTATTATTTCAACCAAAACAAAAACAGAGGAACATATTTTAAAAATAACTTCAGATTGAGGCACAAGGTGGCAGTACAGTTTTCTTTTAGAACTGATGAAACTTTTAGAATTGCAGTAAACTATATCATAATATAGGTGCAAGAGATACAGGATCAAATGTTTATTACTTATTGGATATCAGATGTTCAGCTTTTTCATCTGAATGCTCACAGCAGAAGAGTGACCAGACTCTGCAGGTATGCAGAATAAGACATTTTACAACGTAAGTCTGAGACTCCACATACTGTAGACCTCATTCTTTCCACACTGAAAAACCATGATCCTAGATTTGAGATTTGGTTTGAATCTGTAGGATCAAATGTGACATAATCAAGAAGCAAATAAGCCAAACTGAAGCTCTGAATCAGAACTGAAAGAGGAAATCAAGGCAAAAGAACAGTTAAAAAATGATGGTCCAGGACAAAAATAAATCTGGACAGTCTTATATATGGCTTGCTACATAAGCATTGTTTTGAATGATATTTATCTGTTCCTACTCAGCAACTGGCTGGGACTACTTGCTTGGGCAGTCACAGTCAGTCAACCCAGAATGTTTTTATCAGCCATGTTCATTATTAATTCAACCTTGGCAGTTACCTGAACAGGCTAATAGCTGACAAAATAATCTCTTACTATACATTTCATTACCTGAACAGATGCATGAATTTCCAGTTGTTGAGGACAAATCAAAACCAGCAAGGACTTTCTTTTATGTGCAACTGGGCCAGTCCAGGACTCACTGATTTGGAACAAAATGATTTAAGTGGTTGGGAAGGTGGAATTTCCTAAGTCCAGATAGGATCCCATATTTCTGTTCTGATCTGAAGGCTTTTTTAATGGAGGTGTTGTTCCCTTTCATTATTTCTTCTGACTTGTTTACATTTCCTGGTTCTTAATAATGCTACGAAATCATCCTCTAGCCTGCTTTGTTTTTCTTCGTTTCTGTCATATCGCAGGCATACATTCCTAATTAGAATAAATGTTCCACGAGCATAGAAATGTCTAGTAAATATATCAAGAGTACAATACCTGTTTCCTTAGGCTACAGGTTGGCAAAGAAAAAAAATAGGTTAAGATTTTTTTTCATCCCTCGCCTCAGTCAGCTGTACTGAATGCCTTCTGAATGATAATTACTAGGATTTATAATATGTATTACATTGTGAACTAATATAATTTGCAATTCATATTCTTGGGAGATTGATTTTTGTTTAATACAAGTGTGGGTGTTCTGTGCATTAATGTCATTATATGCTTTGAATTGAAATTACAGTGCATTGAATTGAAAAGTGCCAAGGTGTTTAAGAGCGTATGGGGGCAATGCCCCCAAAGATGCAGATGCTTTTTGGACTTGTCAAAAGATGTTATGTTCCATTCCTGCCCCTTCAAAGCACTTTTAACCTTTGAATCTTAAGTAGTGCACCGTCTTAATATAGATTTCCAAAGTCCACATATTTTATTAGCAGGTCATTCTAAACCTGGGTAATTTAATGTTCAGAAAGAGTCAGGGAACAAATAGTAGTAAAAGCTAGAACAAAAAAGAAAAAGGCTTAGTTATATTTTTCAGGAAATATAACTATAGAATTAAATATATAGTTATATTTCCTGAAAAAATCTAAAATGCTTAACATTGTGCTTACACCTGGGGCTAACAGAAAAGATATAGGTTTCTATTAAAAACTTATTATTGTAATTATTAACACACATATCCAGTTCCTTCAAGCAGATATTCAATTACCTTGATTACCTCTGGGATCTTCTGACACATCAGAATCTATGAAAAGTCATTCCTTCATCTTACAGGGCTAGAGAAAGCCGCTGTTCTTAATCTGAATCAATGGACATTGTATCAATACAAAAAATTGAAATCCATGCTTGTCATAACAGGCAATGAAAAAACCTCATTAATTACTCTCCTTATTATCACTTACCAGTCTCAATTTCATAGGTGGTATTAAACCAACAAGTCTGGCCATAACTTGATAAATAAATTGCAATTATTTGGGTTCTCATAATGGGATATGGACACCCCCCCAAAAAAAGCTATAATAAGACAAAAGTTAAATAATGTCCTAGAACTTAGTTGCTTTTCTATGTTTTTCTTTGTCCTTTTTTTTTTTTTTACAAAATTCTTCAAAATTTTAACAAGCCTCTTTTGTAAATTCAGTTTAGGAAAACTATCCAGATCACTCTCTTGGTTTGTTATTTTGTAGATCCATTTTAATTGTTAAGATACCGGCTGGTTTTTTTTCTGCATGTCCAGAGTGTACCATTATTGTAGTCTGTCATTTTAAATTCCACTTTCAAATCACTCTTATGTAGTCATGCCTGGTAAAATATGTTCCTCTTCCATAATATTTTTTACATACTTCTGTAGAGGCAGATACTCTTAAAATCAGCTTCTGAGTTCAAAAATATCCTTCAATATGTCCGGTATTGAAATATTTTGCTCCATTCTGAATTACTGCATTAGGTCAAATTTAAGTGTTCTTCTCTTTTAATTTTAATCTTTAGTTCTTTCCAGTTCCCTGTAGTGTCCAACCTTCAAAGTCCCATCCCTTTCAAAGTCCTGGTGCCTAGAAGAACCCTTTTTTTACAGGGCTGATCTAGATTTTGATCTGGGGCAGGGTCATTCAACTCTAAAAAATCCTAAGGCTAACTCTTTCTTTTCTCTGTTTTACTGGGCTTAGCAGATTTTCACAAATTGCTAATCACCAGAGAGTGGTCTAAATGTGTCCTGCAAACATCACTGCTACTTTATAAAAATGCATTTTTTGTACTGGAATATGAAAATGACCTTGGAAGGTGGAGGGAGGGGAAGAGCTGTTGCCGAGGGACCAATTAGATAAAAGGAGGAGAAGCCCACAACTGAAAAACAGGCAGGGAAAGAAATTTAGAAAGTATTGCGCCTAACCTTTCAGGCGGTTAAAAAGGGACAGCAGGAGATTTGTACTTTCAGACTTGCAAGATTTTGTTAATGTAGCCTTACAGTGAAGTAGAATTAGTTCATCCAATGAGCTTTTCATGAGCCAGCAGAACAGTTCTGGCATTGGAATTTGCTGCCCCGATAGTTGAACTTGCTTCTGCCTCAGTTTCTTTTCCTTAGAGGCACTACCTGATTTCCTTCCCAGGTAACAGGTGATAAGACCTAATAGGTTTGAGCTACCTAGAGGCTGTTCTTGCATGGTAACAAAATAAAGGGTCATTGATGCATCTTTTAAGGGACCAAAACACCTCCAGGCAGCAAATTGCTCCTTAGAGAACTGCAGTTCCTCTTCAGGACTGGGTTGTAAGGTTATATCATAAGGTTATGCAGCATGATTTACCGTTAGCCTGTAATGTGCTGTTGGAGAAAGAAACGGCTGCTGAGATAAATTAAGCTGATCATCCTAGATTTAAGCAATAAAACATTCAAACAACATCTTCTGGATAAGAAAACTAGATAAAGGCTAAGAAGGATTTCTCAGAGCTTTACAAGGCAATTGGCGGCTGAACTGCACTTTATTTCCGTTTTTGAAAAATCACTTTGCCAGCATTAGGGAGGGGGAAAAAATATTTTAGTGCTTGCCTGGCATAGACAGAGACAAGCAGCATGTTATTCCTTATAAGAAGATGTTGATAATGCTCCAAAGGAAAATACGTTTTAAGAAAGTCCTTAGACATCATGGAGTCAAATGTAACCCAATAACAATGAGGCTGTGTTGGCAGTTTTTAAACTTGATGCCATCTGATAAAGTCGATAAAACAAGGTGATTTGAGTCCAGCAAAAAGGAACTACAATAAATGACTGCACTGAAAGGCAAGAAAGCTTTACAAAGAGAGGAAAATGGCATTATAGATCTGCTTTTGCTGTACAAACAATAAGTGAATGCAATTGTCGGGTAAAGCTATTCATCTATTTAGTAGATTTCTCACTCCCAGCATCTGAAATTATTTACAGTTTTTTGCTGTGGGGAAAGAGCAGTAAAGAAATCCTATTCCGTGCAAAATGGAGCTACAAGAAAAAGCAGCTAGGCTTAATTTATCCCTGATTCAGTACTCTCCCAATTGCTAAACTTCTAAGTACTCTGCTGGCAAAGACCTTGCATTTTTTTTTTTAAAAATGGGATTTTTATCTAAATAAACTTTGAAGATCGGTCATCTCTCCTGACAGCAAATATAGTATGCAGCTGAGTTAAGATACCAATGGAAAGGATGACTTTGATTTGATAGGTGAAGGACCAGGGACTTCATGGCTGTTGGATTGTAAATGTAATTGATGGCATTGCGACACCTACTAAGTGCAATATCAAAGAAACTGGAAGTCTGTGTGTATCCAAGGACCGCCTGGTTGCTACGATCTAAAGATATAATCTTAGCATGAAATAATATGCTTACGTCAGGTGTTTATTAATGCTGCTCAGAGGTTTATTTGCATAGACCAGAGGTAGGCAACCTTGGCTCTTTTATGACTCATGGACCTCAACTCCCAGAGCCATGCTGGCTCAGGAATTCTGGGAATTGAAGTCCACGAGTCATAAAAGAGCCAAGGTTGCCTACCCCTGGGATAGACTATTCTGAAAGTGGTGAATATGGACAGTCCTTATGCACTAGGCTTTGCTTATCCCCATCAGGTATTTCCTGTAAATAGATCTCTTTTCTGTCGTAGTTACTAAAATTGCTTCAGTAATCATTGTTTCAGTCATGTTCTTTTCTTGGGAATACTCACATTCTTCAATGAGGAGGAGGAGGAGGAAGAGGAGGATGAGGAATCTGAATTTTTTTCCTTTTATTTTCTGTTGGAGTAAATATTTTTACTCCATCAGATCAGACCACTTCTATTCAATTACAAAGAGTTACAGTGTTTTCTTTCTCTTGATTTTATGCACAGGACATCTATGGTAGTTCTTTCTCTTTTCCTTTTAATTGTTAATTTATGCTCTTCACTATTTACTCCTACTATATTCCAGGTCACCATATTCCATATTTCTTGATCATCATCAAGGGGCTGATGACCCTCTGCTGTCCATTGTGGTTTTGCTCAGTGATTTTTTTGTAAAAAAAAAAACAAAAGGTGCCGGAACTCACACACGTCATACAACCCGCCGTGCCTACCCTACAAGGTTCCATCAAAAAAAGGTGCTGGAACTCCGTTCTGGGCGTTCTATGACAAAAAAAGCCCTGGTTTTGCTCAATCAAAACTTTATCATCATCCCTGATAATAAGATTAAAGTGTATATTAGATTACCAGTCTTAATCATAACCATATACTATATATGCTCTGAACCAAGCTGATGCTATGTTTCACCATTGCACGAACTTTATCATAAAAATAATAAGTTACACAGCATAGCACAGGAGATAGCTGTAAATGCATGTGGTGATAATGCCAGGCACTGAGATGCTGAGGAGTTCACACGGAAGACATTTCACTGGCTGTTAAGCTAGTTTCTCACACCATCTGTTGTGGACATGCTCAGCATGATGGCTGTAAAATTTTACAACCATCCTCTTGGCACAGACATACCATGACAGAACACAGCATACATTTCTGTAGTCTGATGGATCTGTTGTCCATCAGGTGCTTACTCCTGTACAGACTTACCTTTAATAAAGCTTGTGCTGATCACACTGGCTTTTAGCTCCTCTTTGGGGGAATCATTTATGGATATAACATATTTATTTTACCCATAAATAAAACATTGGGGGGAATCACCATGCCACTTGCAGTAGTGATAAAGGTAAAGACAGTCAGGAACAGTAGATAACCAAAGCCCACTTTTGTTCCAAACATACTCACTCTATCCCATGCAAGCCATGATCTTTAATTTACTCAATGCCTTGCAACCCAGCACCCTGCTGCCTGCATTCCACTAACAAGGATTAACGCAATGTGCTTGCTCAGCATTTGAATCTAAATATAGATTTTTAAAATCAAAATGTAGATAAGTCTCTGTAAATAATGGTTGTCCAACCTCTTGGCTCGCCTAGGTTGCATTGGGTAAAGAGGAATTGTCTTGGGCCCCATATAAAATATATAATATAGTTAATGTATATAAAACCACATAATAACATTAAAAGTTTACATTCTTTTGGGACCACATTACTAGTTGTCCAAGGTCGCAGATGGCCCATGGGTTGGATATGCCTGCTCTAAATTTAAATCTCTTAAAGTCAAAAGAATGCGATCATGTGAATCCATGTCACTGATGAATATGGTATAGGAGATGAGCAGGCTGAGCCTGAGGGAGGGGTCAAACACATCATCAGTCATGAGTCCTTGCACACCCACAAGAGATCCAAGTCCAGCCCACCTTGAATTCCTTTCTTAATTCCTGCTAATTTCCCTTGAGGGTTAGTAGTTCAGATTCTTGTAGAGACTTTAAGCTTGCAATAAATCTTTATACTCTTTTGAACTGCCTGAATCTCCCAATTTCCTTGGTGCTTGATATATGACAGCTTGGTTTGTCACTAGAATTTGGAACTATGCTTTGCTACGTGAATCAGGATAACTTTAGCACTGTTAACATTTTGGGGGTTTTAATTTTCATTGATTTATCCCCTTTAAGGAAACTTTTTTTTTCAGATTTAGAGATTGATGTTTTGCACCCTCCTACACATCCATTTTCTATTGCCCTTGCACAATATGTGGCTCATGGTCACACAGATTAGAGCAAATGGTGACATGTGGGGAGGAAAGGCTTGGCAGGGAATTGTACTCTGATTCAGACAGAGTTGCCTCTTCTATTGGTAAGAATTTGGTTTTAGCTGGGCCAGCTAAAATACATGGAATGCATTTATCAAACTCAGGGTAAGCAATGTACAGCCTGAAGGCCTTCCACCTGAAGACCTCCCAACATCTGTTCTGCAGTCTCCAGAACACAGCTAGATTATAAAATTGGCATTTGCCAGGAAAACCCCAGATTTTTGACAATTGTCCCCTGGCTTTGCTTTTAAAAAGGAACAAAATAGAACCACAAATAATGTGTAAGGCTAAATCCAGCCATCAACATTTCCATGTGTCCTCTTCTCTCAAAAAAGAAGAAAGAGGAGGATGAGGATGAGGATGAGGAGGAGTGAAATATTTTGTTCATGCCATCAGGTCTCTGGGCCTCTTTTCCATGACTCTTAGAGACTGAAAAAAATAATTAAAAATGAAAATGCGGAGTCGGGTCACAAGTTACCCTCCCTTGCCCTGCTCCCTTCATTAGAAGCAGAGGCTAGTATATGTTCATATGACAAAGCCACTGAGAAAAGGGAACATTTTGTAATTTGAAGAGAGCGAGATACAAACAAATACATGTTTTATAGGGCAGGAGCAAAGGACAGACACTCTTAATGTATAAAAACTACAATATATCATGTCTCTTGTGAACCGTGGTCCATGGTTGGTGCCCTAAGCCCTCCGATAAGCTAATCAATATTGCTTCTGTGAAATTCAGTAAGATTAGTTCAAAGTAAATGTCAAAGCTTAGCCTTTGGAAATGTGAAGTATTAATAAAGCACAGAGTGCTTCTTAGTTTGTATAAAATACCTTTTTTTACTATCCAGTAATAACAGACAGACGGAGCCATGGCATAGGAAATGTTTAAGTCCCTCAGGAACATAGCACTTCCTCTGCTCACACAAGAAATTAGAAAACCATAAATTCAATATTGGTGGGGAACAGAGAATATATTTATAGCGATGAAGTATGCGGACCTGTATTAGTTTGCAGGTGTTCTAGAGATCTAGCTGATTGACCTGTATACATGGAGACAATTACAAGTCAAAACAGAGATGTTTCAGCATGTTCCCATGCAACTTGGAACAATGCAAAAAAAAAAAAAAAAAGCAGCAGTGAATATAAACATTAAATCAAGTAAGGTGTGTGGGAAACACATGGTAATAAAGGGAAATTTGCTTACAAAAGTGCATAAAAGTTTATATCCAGGAGAAATGCACGGAAATGTGCTTATGGATTTTTATAGGGAGAAGTGGTAATGGGTGAAACCAGGCTTGCCCTAACTGATTTTTTTTCATCCTGAGTTTCAGGACATAAAGAAAGTGGTCATCATCCTGAAATGGACTCCTTGCTTTCTTTTATGATCTCCTACCCACAACATTTTCTAAAGCTTTAACGGTTGGTAACATCTATTTTCTCTGTCTCAAATCTTCTACAGATTTACAGCGTAACCATTCCTCTCATCAGGGTGCCAAATAACCTGAGCCTCTTTATATTCTTCACACCATTCCTGTCTTTTTAAAAATATGCTTCTGCTATTTTTTAAAAGAAAACTTTTTTAAAAAAAAAATGCTATAAAGCTCCAGTGTTCAGTACAGAAACCTCACCCACTTCCATAAAGCAAGGCACAACATTTCATTCTTCAGTTCTGCTAGTGTCTTTTAAGCCAAGATTTCAGTGTGATGTGGGAAATCAGAGTCAGGAAGTTATTTATTTATGTATTTATTTTATATTCCTGCCTTTATTGTTTTTATAAATAACTCAAAGTGGCAAATGTGCTAATACTGTCTTCTGCTATTTTCTCACAGGAGCAACCCTCTGAGGTGAGTTGGGCTAAAAGAGAGAGGCCCAAGGTCACATAGTTGGCTTTCATGCCTAAGGCAGGACTTGAACTCTCTATCTCCTAAGTTTCTAGCCTGGTGTCTTAACCACTAGATCAGGGGTGTCAAACTGGCAGTCTGTGGGCCGGATGCCTCACCCACAGGCCACGCCCACCCTGGCTCCGCAAAGGCAAAAAATGTCATGATACGTCATGTGACGCAATCAAGTTTGACACCCGTGCGCTAAACCAAACAGGCATTGAATATTAGACATCCCTTTGAAGAAATCATTCCTTCTGATTTTATAGCTAAAGGAGTTCACCGGGAGATATATTTGGGCAATCCAAATGAGATTTCTGTTTTGGATTTGACTGTTCTCCAGGCTAGAATTCCCGAATGCTGGAACAAAAATCTCCAGTTGAGATTTTGTTGTACAATATGAAGTTGTATGAAACCCACTCTGTTCGTTGTTTCCTATACTAGCTTGGGTCTCACAATGGTAGTTTGGTTACAGGCTGATAAACCATTAATTTGTTTTGTAGCAGAGGGAGAAGTAATGCAAAATCAGAATCAATTATCTAGGAGTGAGGAGATGCACATCCTAGAGACATTTGGATTGAGATGACTCAGGAGATAGATAATATGCTTCAAAATGAGCAATTTTCTCCACTATTGTTCCTAATGTAAAATGCCAGAGTGCCACACAGTTGTAGGATTACCTCTGGCATCCAATAAGCAGTTTGAGATTACAATCTTAAATTTGTTTTATCCTCATTAAATATTTGGCACTGCAGAAGATATGTGCTTCGCCTTTTCTATTATCATTATCATTGGAAACTTGTCCTTGGCCTTACTACCTTGGTTTCAATGACACTTTCATTTTAGTTTCCTTTCTTTTTTTTAAAGGCTAACATCTGAATTACATCCCCTTTTTCATTTTTGGGAAGACTAGATATTTTGTACTTCCCTTTCTGTAATGCTATATATGAAAATGGATGCATAAAAATGTCCACAGTCCATTTGTTGATGTTTCAGTTGTATTGACATTCTCTGAATATCAACATGAGAGAATGAGTAGGTGAGAAAGTGGTTCTACATTTTGTTCCAAAACAATTCTCCATTATTTTATTGGTTATTGGGAATTCCACCTTAACTTCCCAATGGAGGGGAAAACCATTAGCCTGACACAAGGCCCAAGAGAACTGTAGCACTATGCCAATTCAGCCAATTTGGTCTAGTGGCTAAGGCATCAAGCTAGAAACTAGGAAATGGTGAGTTCTAGTCCCACCTTAGGCGTTAAAGCAGGGTAGGGGACTTTGGGCCAGTTGTTGTGGAGAAAATAGGAGGAGGAAGAAATATTAGGTATGTTCCACAGTCTTGAGTTGTTTATAAAGATAATAAAGGGGGATATAAATAAAAAAATGAATAAATAAATAAACTGGGATCCCTGAAGGAATAGAAAATCCAAATAAATAAGTTATAAAGATTAACAATGCTGATGAGTCATTAATTTTAATATTGTAAGCTGCCCAGAGTTATTGCATGGCAAGTTGGATGACAAACAAACAAACAAACTTTTTAAATCTCAAGCGATAGCTGAAGCATCTATTATGAAAATAGGAACAGAAGGCATTTCTGCACAGAGAAGGGGAAAATGAAACAGTGGTTGCTAGTTGTTTATTCAACCGCATAGATTAAAAAAAATAAAAGATAAAGACTAGAAAATATTAATCTGGATATAGAAAGGCTAAATCCAAGATAATCTTATTAGAGAGATCAATTCCAGGTAGAAGATATTCATGTGGAGGGACTAATCTTTTCCATGGATGCCTCAGGTGGAGATGTTTCTTCAATGGATTAGAAAAGCTATGGAGGCAGCTACAAAATGCCTCTAAATATTTTGGGTTATTGAGTTGGCTATTAAATCTCAACACTATTATAATTCCACCTTTCATCTATACACCTTTCCCATTTATATGCATAAATATATGTATGTAGATTTGAAATGGCTTCCACTTTATGTAGAATTTGAAATGTTCTCTTGTACCACCAGCCCAAAGTGGTAGTTTTAATACTCTAATGGAAATGTATTGAGTTTTTTTTAGCGATTAGGCTAATCATCAGAAAAAGATTCCGTCAAGGAGAGTTTGTCCATTACTAAACCATATGAATCTTAACAAAAGGTGCAGATGCAGCTAGTCCAGTGGCTCAAATAGCAATGGGTGCACCCATGTAACACCTCTATTTCAAGAGCTGCAGTGGTTGCTAGTAAGCTTCCAGATACAATTCAAGGTGCTGGCTGTAAGCTTTAAAACCCTTCATAGTTCAGCACTGAATAACTATGGATAAAAAAAAAGGTAAAGATTTCCCTTGTCCAGCCATGTCCGACTCTAGAGGGTGGAGCTCATCTCTTTTTCCTAGTCTTTGTCCAAAGACGCTTCTGTGATCATGTAGCCAACATGACTCTACACCAGGGGTATCAAACTGCCAGCCCAAGGGCTGGACGCATCACAAAGAAACCGCGCCCAGACCATTGCTGGCAATGGAGAAAAAGTTCCGGTACATCGCGTGATGTCACATGACGTTGCAAGTTTGAGATGTCTGCTCTACACCAAGGTGCACAGAATGCTGTTACCTTCCCACCAAAGTGATACCTACTAATCTATTTGCATTTGCATGCTTTTGAACTGCTAGGTTCAAGAAGCTGGGGCAGGAACAGGAGGATAGCCCATCACACAATGCTTGAGTCTTGAACTGACCACCTTCCAGTAAACAGCCCAATGTCTTCACCGCCAGGCCACCATTTCTACCAATAACCTCTGCCCGCTGGAAAAGATCTAATGAGAGTCTGTCCATATTCCTTGGTAAGAAATCTCCATTTTTAAGAGCCGCATAAGCATATATTTTCGGTCCTCTGAAGTAGCTTTCCCCCAGATGTTTGAATCTGGGCTCCCTGCCTCCTGGTTTTTAGAAAATTAGTGTAAACCTGGTTAAATTTATTTATTTATTTATTTATTTATTTATGAGACTTATATACCGCTTTAAGTGCAAGCATTCTCTAAGAGGTGTACACCAGTAAGCAATGTGTATATATATATATATTTACATTGCCCCCAACAATCTGGGTCCTCATTTTACCTACCCCGGAAGGATGGAAGGCTGAGTCAACCTTGAGCCGGTGAGATTTGAACCGCTGACCTGCTGAACACAGTCAGCTAAAGTGGCCTGCAGTAAATCTCCAAGCTGTATGGAGGCTTGGTTGCTATTGCTATCTCACCCAGAGATGATTTGGTCATACTGCACTGCACATGCTTCCTAGTTTTTATATGTGATTATAATGCCAATTAATTATTTACCTGTTTTAAAAAAATCCCAAATTACATATTTGAGGAGCTGTACGTTGCTCAGAATTAGCTGCTTGAAGCAGCCAATACATAAGTAAGTGAATCAGGTAAATAAATAATGACAAAGTTGGTAATGTCTGCCCAATGATGATCTACATGCAAAATATTTCAGCAAATCTCAAGGTTCCTTCCGAAACAAATTTGCTGCAGAAAAAAATTCCCTCCACATGGGTAAATCTGAAAGCTACTGATAGACTCCTTAGTGTGTTTTTCTCAGACATGGCTTTAAATCAGTGGTTCTCAACCTGTGGGTCGGGACCCCATTTGGGGTCGAACGACCATTTCACGGGGGTCGCCAAACAACGCAGTCCGCCATTTTTCCCCCCTTTTCTTTAGCTGTGCTACTCCCTTTTATTCTATTGGCTTTTGAAAGCCAGTAGAATAGACTCTCTTGAATAGAGTCTAATTCTATTGGCTTTCAAAAGCCAATAGGAATTGTCCAGGCTAAGCCCGCCAAAAGTCCCATTCTGCAAACAGTGCTGCACCAGTTGAGTAGTCCTCGACTTACGACCGGTTGAGTAGTCCTCGACTTACGACCGGTTGAGTAGTCCTCGACTTATGATCGGTTGGGGGTCGCGGCATTAAAAAGGTTGAGAACCACTGCTTTAAATGAAACATGACCTCCCGGTAAATTTATACAGATAGTCCTTGACCTATGACAGATTACCTAGTGACCATTAGAAATTGCAATAGACACCTCCCCCAAAAGGTAACTATGATGCAGATTCAGAGTTCCAATGGCCAGGCCTTCCCTGTGGTCACGTGATTGCATTTTGCACCCAAAACGTAATCACACGACCACAGGAGAAGGCTCAACAACCAGCCCAAATTTATGGTCTTTTGCAGCATCTCATGGTCACGTGATTGCAATGTACATTACATTTATTTCCATTTTCTGCAAAAAATGCTCATTGTGGACAGTGGGTTAATTAATCATAATAGTGGCTTATAATAATAATGATAAAGTTGGAAGGGACCTTGGAGGTCATCTAGTCCAACCCCCTGCTCAGACAGGAAACCCTATACCATTTTGGACAAATGGCTGTCCAGTTTCTTCTTAAAAACTTCCAGTGTTGGAGTATTCACCACTTCTGGAGGCAGGTTGTTCCACTGGTTAATTGTTCTAACTGTCGGGAAGTTTCTCCTTAGTTCCAGGTTGCTTCTCTCCTTGACCAGTTTCTGTCCGTTGCTTCTTGTCCTGCCTTCATGTGCTTTGGAGAATAGCTTGATTCCCTCTTCTTATGGCAGCCCCTGAGATATTGGAATACTGCTATCATGTCCCCCCTCATCCTTCTCTTCGTTAAACTAGACATATCCAATTCCAGCAACCGTTCCTTATATGTTTTAGCCTCCAGTCCCCTAATCATCTTTGTTGCTCTTCTCTGTACTCTTTCTAGAGTCTCAACATCTTTTTTACATCGTGGTGACCAAAACTGGCACAACTTGCAACCACCATTTCAGGCTCAATTATGATTGTAAATTAAGAACTACCTGTGTGGTCTTTGCTTTCTTTCTTCAAATGGGACTCAAGTGCATGCTGGGTATCCTTTGGTCAAAATTTCACCCATCTGAGTTACAAAAGGAAACATAATTTTATGAGAAAGTTTATCACTGCTATATTCCTGTTCGTTATTGGTAGAGCAGTGTGTTTAATTTCATAAACAGTGGCATCAGTAAACTTAATAAATCTGTCCTGTACTTAATCAAAGCAATTAACCCAAGGGTACAGAGATCAATATGGAACAGCAGAGTAGGGTGACGGGAACTGATTGGAAGTGAAAACTGCAGCACATGATAAATTAGGTAATGCTTAGAAAACAGAATATAAAAGCTATAAGCATCTATTTATATTTATTTTCTAATTATTTCAAGGTATATCCTATTAGATGAGCAACATGTTTTCTTAAAGCCAAGAATACAAATTGATAATTGATTGTGGGCCTGGGCCTGCTTGAGAGGTTTCTAAAAACTGAACAGATTGGATTAACCATCAGAAGCGGTACGTATTTTTTTTCCTCTCAGAATTCTAATTTGAAGCCAAATTTGCATACATAAACATATAAATAGATAACTGAAAAATTAAAAATAAATAAACCTTATTGATTATGGCGCCAGGGTAACTGGAATAGAACAGCCTAGAGAAAAGCTCAGTGAATAATGCAGATTAAACAATAAGAGTATATATCTTCTCCCCCTGAAAACTGCTATATCGTTTTGTATATAGCCCTGGTTTACTGCAGAAAAGGGATTTGCTTTCAGCTCAGGAATATATTTCGATTTAGAGTAATAAATAGATAACTGAAAAATTAAAAATAAATAAACCTTATTGATTATGGCGCCAGGGTAACTGGAATAGAACAGCCTAGAGAAAAGCTCAGTGAATAATGCAGATTAAACAATAAGAGTATATATCTTCTCCCCCTGAAAACTGCTATATCGTTTTGTATATAGCCCTGGTTTACTGCAGAAAAGGGATTTGCTTTCAGCTCAGGAATATATTTCGATTTAGAGTAATAAATATTCCTATGTTTTTCTCCCCACAGAATCTCAGACTAGTTTGCAGAAGAATCATCATGCTCATCAAGATAGAAAAATGTGGGGTAGACAGAACCACCACCAGATGGATCCGTAGCTGGCTTACCGGCCGTACTCAGCGAGTGGTCCTCAATGGAACTGCATCTATATGGAGGGAAGTGTGTAGTGGGGTGCCCCAGGGCTCTGTTCTGGGCCCAGTACTCTTCAACATCTTCATCAACGATTTGGATGAAGGGATAGATGGGGAACTCATCAAATTTGCAGACGACACCAAGCTGGCAGGAATAGCCAACACTCCAGAAGACAGGCTTCAGATACAGAAGGATCTGGACAGACTTGAACACTGGGCACTAACTAACAAAATGAAATTCAATGGTGAAAAAAGCAAGGTTCTACATTTAGGCAAGAAAAACCAAATGCACAAGTACAGCATAGGTGGCACCATGCTCAATAGTAGTAACTGTGAGAGGGACCTCGGAGTCCAGTAGACAATCACTTAAATATGAGCCAGCAGTGTGCTGCAGCTGCCAAAAAGGCCAACACAGTGCTAGGCTGCATTAACAGAGGGATAGAATCAAGATCACGTGAAGTATTAATACCACTTTACAATGCCTTGGTAAGGCCACACTTGGAATACTGCATCCAGTTTTGGTCACCACGATGTAAAAAAGATGTTGAGACTCTAGAAAGAGTACAGAGAAGAGCAACAAAGATGATTAGGGGACTGGAGGCTAAAACATATAAGGAACGGTTGCTATTGGGTATGTCTAGTTTAACGAAGAGAAGGACAAGGGGGGACATGGTATTCCAATATGTCTAGTTTAATGAAGAGAAGGACAAGGGGGGACATGATAGCAGTATTCCAATATCTCAGGGGCTGCCATAAAGAAGAGGGAATTAAGCTATTTTCCAAAGCACCTGAAGGCAGGACAAGAAGCAACGGGTGGGAACTAATCAAGGAGAGAAGCAACCTAGAACTAAGGAGAAACTTCCTGACAGTGAGAACAATTAATCAGTGGAACAGCTTGCCTCCAGAAGCAGTAAATGCTCCAACACTGGAAGTTTTTAAGAAGAGACTGGACAGCCATTTGTCCGAAATGGTGTAGGGTTTCCTGCCTGAGCAGGGGGTTGGACTAGATGACCTCCAAGGTCCCTTCCAACTTTACTACTATTATTATTATTATCAAGATCGTGATCATGATGACTCTTTTATAAACTCATCATCATCATTACCACCACCATCATCATCGTCATCCAAACTATCAGAATAAACCAGCAATGCTTAAAACAATAAACAAAGATTTAAATAAAGTTCATTAAAAAAAAAAAACACCAGAAAAGTAAAATAATAGGTAAAATTTAAAGCAAACCTTTCTAAGTGTAGTAGCTGTCTCATAAATGTCTGGGGGAACTATAATGTCTTCAAACATTTTCTGAAAGAAAACCGGTCAGACATCTCCAAAGGAGAGACTTCTTTAATGAGGATCCTGTCAACAATGAGGAGTTGGTCCATTCCTAATTACCATAAGAATCCCCTGTTGGTTCTGCAGGGAGTTTTCCCTGCTAATCTTACTGCATTATTAGATGGCAGAGGACAAGCTAAAAACATAAGCCATTAAGGTCTTTATGGGTTAATGCCAACACTTTAAATTGGTCCCGGCAGCCCCATAGCACTCTCCAATGTGCTCTATTGAGCTTCCCCATTAACAATCAGGCAGCTCTAATTTCCAAAGTATTTTCATGGAGAGCCCTGTGCTGAGTTTATTGCAACACAGGCAAGTCCTCAACTAACGACCATAAATTGAGCCCCACATTTTTGTTGCTAAGCAAGGCAGTTGTTAAGTCAGTCATGCACTAGTTTACACCTTTTTGCCATGGTCGTTAAGCGAATCACTAGAGCAGTTGAATGAATTATGCGGTCATTAAGCAAATCCAGCTCCCCCCATTGCCTTTGTTCATCAGATGTTCCTTGGGAAGGTTGCAGATGAGAATCCCAGGATCCCCAAACACTCCAAGCATCATAAATACAGGCCAGTTGCCAAGTACCCCAAGTTTGATCGTGTGTCTGTGGGGGATCCTGCAATGGTCATAAGTATGAGAACTGGTCCCAAATCACTTTTTTTCAGTGTCATTGTAACTTTGAATGGTCATTAAATGACTGCTTTACCTGTAACCTAGCAGATGTTATTAGGGCACATATAGTAGGTAGTTTTCTCCTTCCGATCATGGCACTAATGTCCATCAATAACCATTTCAGTCCCATCTTCTTACGATATTATTGTCAAAGATCCTACTTCACCCCTGGCAAGAAAGACTCAGAATTGATCAGTTCACAGGTGGTTTCCAATTTACTGAGAGGAATCTTCGGCATGCAGGTCAAACAACAATGCTTTCAAAGTCCACGCAGGGAGCAACCACCTCCCAGTGCTGTATTTACAGGCACACACGTTAACCCCACCCCCCACCCATCTAGCCAGCATCTGGTCATGAGGCCTCAAATGGCCGGCAGATACGCCCATCAGCCTTTTCGCCTCAGCTGTCTGTGACCGAATCTCAGCTGTCTGTGACCGCATCTGTGACCGCATCTCAGCTTTCCCCATCCCAGCCAGTTCCAAACGTCCTCTCTGCCGCTTTGTAAGCTTTACCGGTAAGTCCACGGCCATCTGCTTTTCAGCAACTCGTCAGCAAGCTGGCGTGGTTCTGAAGATAGCTCCCCGACCGCCCGGCGACCCGGCAACCTGTCAGCTGTTCAGTGGGCTGGGAAATGCCACTGGAGACAGCTGGTGTGTGGCCGCACACCAGCAGATCATCGGCTGAAGGCTCTGGCTGGCTGGCAGTGGGTGGACTGCTGCTGATGTTCCTCGCCCTGTGCGCCATCCTCCCCCTCCCCCCACCTGTTCATGTCGAGCCTGGAGGGCTTGACAGGCAGCCCTTCTACCAGGGTTCCTCCTGGAAAGCAAGGAAAGACATGTGATTAGGTACATGCCACGGAGACTGATACAGTCAGCTTTCCTCCCGGCTTATGAGGATACTTGCGGTGGTACCGTCGTAACAACCGAGGAGCTGTGACATCTGCTTCCCCCACCCATGAGGCCTCTGATATTGGGTATCCCTTCCACCTTACCAAATACTGTACTCGCCCCGGTGAATGCGGGAGTCAAGTATTTCTTGGATCTCGTATTGATCCCCTCCCGATAGGACCTGGTGCTTGTTTTATGCGTCTGAATGATAACCCTACCGTCGGCTTCAATAGGCTACTATGAAAAACCAGGTGCACCTTGCCGAGACTGTGGGGAAGCTGTAAGTGTACGATAACTGGGTTGATGACCTGTTGCACTCTGAACAGCCCTATATATTTTGGTCCCAGTTTCCTACATGGTTAGGCACAGCTTTAAGTACTTGGTAGACAGGTACACCATGTCCCCTGCTTGGAAGGGTTTTTGTGGTGCCCGTTTTTTATTGGCCTGTGTTTTTGAAACCTTTTCAGCTTTTCTCAAAGTGTTCTTGACAGAGTCCCTCACTTCTAGGATCTGAGGCATCTACTCATGCAGGCCTTCAGGGATCGGGACAAACTCCACTCCGTGCATAACCGAAAGGGGGTGAAGCCGGTGCTACTGTGGACCGTGTTGTTATATGCCACCTCAGCAAACAGGAGGAGGTCAGCCCAGTTCATCTGTTGATAGTCAACATAACACCTCAAATATCGTTCCACCATCGCTTTGGCTCGTTCAGCTGCCCCATTAGTGCTGGGGTGGAACGTGGAACTCAGGCCTTATGATGAACCAATCAAGTGGATGAACTCCCTCCAGAATCAGGTGGTAAATTGTACACCCCGAGCAGATATTATATGTCGGGGCACCCCATGCAACCAGTACACATGTGTTATGAACAGTTTAGTTAGCTGTCGAGTGGATGGTAAACCCTTGCACGGGATGAAATGTGCTTGTTTTGAAAAAAGGTCTATCACTGTCCATATCACCTTTTTTCCACGACTGTCCAGCAGCTCCACAACAAAGTCCATTGCTATCTCTTCCCAAGGCTGGGTCGAGTTGGAGACATGTTGTAATAAGCCAGGCGGACTGCTGCCAATGTTCCTTGCCCTGCGCACCATCCTTGCCCTCCCCCCCACCTATTCATGTCGAGCCTGGAGGGCTTGACAATTATCTATACCTTATCCCTAGCCCAAAAAGTAACAGATCAGAGTTAACAACAGCACTGAAAAAAAAGCAACTTTTGACCATTTGCAGCATGATTAAAATTCAGACGCTTGGCAACTGGCTCATATTTATGATGGTTGCAATGTCCCAGGGACACATAATCACCTTTAGTGACCTTCTGACAAGCAAAGCCCATGGGGGAAGCCAGATTCACTTAACAACCATGTTACTAACTTAACAACTGCAATGATTCACTTAACAACTGTGGCAAGAAAGGATGTAAAATGGGGCATATCTCACTTAACAA